CATGGTCGACCGTGACGGTGAAGGTCACATTGTCGCCAGCGGTCACCAGTCGTGATCGACTGAGCGAGTCGAACGTGAGGAGGTGGGGCCACCACATCGAACGACTCGCTTGCAACAAGCGTGCATGAGCCAAAGTCAACAGTCGAGGCTGCGCTGATGGCAGTGCCATCGACGTTGACCGGGACGTCAAGAGCACGGACGCGGGTCAGAACCACTACAACGTCACCGGCGTCAAGGACGTTGTCGCCGGTATTGGTGATGGTGCCAAACGCGTACGTCGCCGTGTCGGTTGTGGTTGCCGAGGCTGCTGCACCCAGACTGAGCGCCGAGCCTGAGATCGAAGCCCCGAGCGCAGCAACCTCGGTGTGGACGATCTCGACGCGACCAGCAGCGAGACCAAAGTCGACCGAGACCGTGAGTGGCATCGTGCCCTCAGACAGCACCACGGTCGTGTTGACGTCGGCTGTCTCGCCAACAGCAAGATCCCAGTTGGTCATGCCGTGCTGCGAAAGTCCTGTCTCGGTGAGAGATGTCGACAACGTAGCCATACGCGCCTCGTAGGGGTCATCAACAACAATCGTCTCATTGTCGGCTGCTGCAAGGGTGCGTGCAACAGCAGCCTCCGGCGAGGTGCCATACTCGAGCGCAGATGCGTGCCACGTCGTCTGATGCGGCGAGACAAAGTCTGTCAGCGCCGCGACGTACGTGATGGTGATAGGGCCAGTCCCCAGATCGAACGTCGGGATGAGGACATGGACCGACGCATCACCGGCATTGTTGCCAGATACAACAGTACCAGAGGTGGTGGTGACCGAGCCCGAGAACAGGGCGTACTCGATGTTGAACAGTGACGTAGCATTGAGCGCATACGCCGCCGCCGTCGACGCGCCAGCATGGTCGACCGTGACGGTGAAGGTCACATTGTCGCCAGCGTCACCAGTCGTGATCGACTGAGCGAGGTCGAACGTGAGGAGCGGGGCCACCACATCGAACGACTCGCTTGCAACAAGCGTGCCTGAGCCAAAGTCAACAGTCGAGGCTGCGCTGATGGCAGTGCCATCGACGTTGACCGGGACGTCAAGAGCACGGACGCGGGTCAGAACCACTACAACGTCACCGGCGTCAAGGACGTTGTCGCCGGTATTGGTGATGGTGCCAAACGCGTATGTCGCCGTGTCGGTTGTGGTTGCCGAGGCTGCTGCACCCAGACTGAGCGCCGAGCCTGAGATCGAAGCCCCGAGCGCAGCAACCTCGGTGTGGACGATCTCGACGCGACCAGCAGCGAGACCAAAGTCGACCGAGACCGTGAGTGGCATCGTGCCCTCAGACAGCACCACGGTCGTGTTGACGTCGGCTGTCTCGCCAACAGCAAGATCCCAGTTGATCATGCCGTGCTGCGAAAGTCCTGTCTCGGTGAGAGATGTCGACAACGTAGCCATACGCGCCTCGTAGGGGTCATCAACGACAATCGTCTCATTGTCGGCTGCTGCAAGGGTGCGTGCAACAGCAGCCTCCGGCGAGGTGTCATACTCGAGCGCAGATGCGTGCCACGTCGTCTGATGCGGCGAGACAAAGTCTGTCAGCGCCGCGACGTACGTGATGGTGATAGGGCCAGTCCCCAGATCGAACGTCGGGATGAGGACATGGACCGACGCATCACCGGCATTGTTGCCAGATACAACAGTACCAGAGGTGGTGGTGACCGAGCCCGAGAACAGGGCGTACTCGATGTTGAACAGTGACGTAGCGTTGAGCGCATACGCCGCCGCCGTCGACGCACCAGCATGGTCGACCGTGACGGTGAAGGTCACATTGTCGCCAGCGTCACCAGTCGTGATCGACTGAGCGAGGTCGAACGTGAGGAGTGGGGCCACCACATCGAACGACTCGCTTGCAACAAGCGTGCCTGAGCCAAAGTCAACAGTCGAGGCTGCGCTGATGGCAGTGCCATCGACGTTGACCGGGACGTCAAGAGCAC